TTCAATTTAATAAGAGGAAGTTCTGCCATCCTGCCATCCTGCTAAAACGTTTACTACTACAATATTACAACATGTGACGTTTACTACTTCAATACTACAATTGGGCTTTAGATCTGTACGACATTGACGACTTAAGAAACTGGAGAACAGTCTGTCCGAGATGCAACAGCGAGGACTCTTCAGTAGCCGCCGTCGTGCTGTTCCCAACAATTTGAACTCCTGTTTGGTTTCCTTTTGTTTTGTTTTGTTTTGTTTTGTTTTATTTTGTTTTACATGACACGAGAAATATAAGTGATAGAAACCGACGTTTCGGTGCACCATGCGCCATTATCAAGGTTACATAATTAAAGATAAAAAGCGGTTTGTGAAGAGGCTAAGTTGAAGCGAATTTGCATAAGAGAATGCCAAGCTAATTACATGAATACTTTAGCACGAAGATAATCAGACTGTACATTCAGTGCTGGTTTAAGATCTTGAATACAAAGCATTTCATTAACAAGGCAGTCAAATTTGTTTGTGCATTTCTTTATTACATTGAAGCGTGCTAAGAAGTTGGTCGGAACAGCAGTGTTATGTTCTTTGGAATAATGTTTGTAAATAGATGACGCCTTTTGACGGTGTCCCTCAACGCGTGTTTACTAGCCGCAAACTTAAACAAGATCTAAGCCTGCGTGAGCCCAAGCCTAACATCGTAACCCAGCAATGCGTTGTTAATTTATTCAAGTGTGGCATGTGTAATGCAGGTTATGTCGGGTACACAAAGTGCAATCTGATTATCTTCGTGCTGAAGTATTCATGTAATTAGCTTGGCACTCTCTCATACAAATTCGCTTCAACTTAGCCTCTTCACAAACAGTTCTTTATCTTTAATTATGTAACCTTGATAATGGCGCAAGATGCACCGAAACGTCGGTTTCTGTCACTTACATTTCTTGTCTCATGTATTTCCAAATCGTTTCCTATAATTGTTTTGTTTTGTTTTGTTTTTTTTGTTTAAATATGAGTAGCTTGAGTTTACTTCTTATTGACGGGGGATCCACTGTAATTGGCTAGGCTGTAGTGGTCTTCCTGCCTAATAAAAATTTTATGTATAAAAGTATTTTAGTTAGGCGAAGTTGAATACAAAAAATAAATTTATATGAAAATCGAAAAAATGATTATTAGAAGCATCGCGTTAGCTCCATCCGCTGTTTGCATCACGGAAAAATTTGTCTCATTTTAATAACTGCAGCGATCGATTGGTCCAGATCCATTCTTATTAATAAGGATAAAGTTCTGTGGTCCTCTGATATTCGGGCAGATGTTTAACTATAATAAGAGAAAGAGAGCGGGCTTCATTCTTATTTGGTTCACACAGCTTGCAGTGGTGAAGGCGCCAAAGGAATATTAATAAAATATTTCCGTAACAAAAGTTACGTCCTTTAACAATTTGTCACAAAAAGGCTAGACAAAAACCTTGCCTAGTATAAAATCGAAAAAGCATGAGATAACACCTGAAGCTTCTCTAACTTGGTAAAAACTCATTATTATAATGATTTTTTTCCTTTTTTAAGTATTATTATTATTATTATTATTATTATT